TTACTCTTTTTCCGTAAGCTTCTAAAGAGCCTACCAACTTTGTCACTAAGAGAGTAGTGATATCTTTTGTCACCTCAATAGTGGTTACTATTAGATTATATTTTTCTACCACACTAATTAATATTTTTTCGTCCACCATTTTCTTAGTAATATCTTTTCCATAGATTCTTAATTGATTGACAATTTCTCTTAATCTAGAATAATAATATTTAGTGGTGAGAATTCTTCATTTTCATATTCTCCAAATCCCTTTTAAGAGTTTGAAGCTTAACAATAGCTACCTTGGCACTGTCTTGAAACTACTCCTCCAAGGTATCCCATGCACTTTGATACTTGTAGCACCCACTGTTTCTTGAAAAAATCGGTTCCATTACAAAAAATTTCCTATAAGCCAGCAGTTTGTATCTGGCGGTCACGTGCAATTCCAACAAATCCCAACAACATCAGTGAACAAATTTGCCCGCTCACRTTTTGAGTAGGGGCCGGCAGTCAAATTTTAATAGACCATACAACGTAACCGCATGATGAGTCCCGGAAGTTATTATTTTGAAAAAAAGAACAAAAGAAAATAATAACCAATTGACCGGTGAAACAGGGGTCCCGCCAAAACAGCTATGTCGCGCCAAAGGAGGGATTCGTTAAACATAATGACGAATATCTCTCACTTTAAATCATCCTTTCCTTTAATCTCGATGCCATATCTTTGTTCCTCCGTTTAACTTATCATTTGAGAACTGTGAGAAGCCATGCATAGAGTTCGATTTCAAGAGAGTTGTGGATGTGAGAGTGGAGATTTAAAGATAACTATGGATCGGTTGTGAATATCTGCTCAGATAGAAGGATTTGAAGCCATGAACTTGTGAATAAAGATTTGAAGATTTGAAACTATAGGGTTTGAGTTGAAGCCAGAAGATTTGTTCCTGGTACTCCATTCCTGCTTGTGCGAATGGTATTCATCTTCTCTCCTTTCTGATTTTATATTTTTTTCTTATGAGATATCTTTATTTATATATCTTCACCTCTCTTTCCCCTCATATTGATGTGGCATAGAAAGTGGCTGGCAGTTAGTTGAGCTGGCAGTTATGTTTGTTATATTAGTTGGGATGTTAGACAATTATGTTTGTTATATTAGTTAGCATGAGTGAGCTGGCAGTTATGTTTGTTATATTAGTTGGGATGTTAGACAGTTATGTTTGTTATATTAGTTGGCATGAGTTGAGCTGTTGGACGAGCTGTTAAAAATCTCTTGTACTGAGTTGAATAGAGATAGAAATATACATCTACATTCTCTCATTCCCTTCTTTCTTTCTTGGCTTCTTTCCTTCATTATCTCTGTTTGTGTGGTTTTCTTGTGATAACCATACCTGCAGGATAATCCAACAGTTCTCAGAGTGCTTCACAAACTGAGTTGCATCATTGGTATCAGAGCTTGTTCTGATTCTGGGTAATGGCGGAATCGACACGACAACAAACCTCCATTCGAGAGGTAGAGGCAGCTTTAACAAGAAAGTTGAATGAAACTAATGCTCGATTGGATCAATCCATCGCTGGGCTAAAGGATATGATAATGGCACTRGTTAATCAGCAAGCAAGGCATGAGCAGACAGGGGGGACGTCAGGGAGAGGACACCCAAGAAATGGTGGAGATGGTAATTCTTTTTCTGATTCCTCCTTCTCCACAAGGCTTACAAAGGTAGATTTCCCGAAATTCAATGGAGACCATGTGAAGGATTGGCTTTACAAATGTGACCAGTTCTTCTCTTTGGATAACACTTCGTCTGCTGCTAAAGTCAAATTGGCAGCGATCCATTTGGAAGGTAAAGCACTACAATGGCATCACACTTTGATGAASTCTAGACTCACTAATGACCCCATGAATTGGGAGGATTATGCTAAGGCCATCGCGAGTAGGTTCGGTCCTGCCTTTGATGATCCGATGTCAGAATTAATGTCGCTCAAACAATCAGGCTCTATTGTTGAGCATATGGAGCAGTTTGAGAACATCTTGACCAGGGTGGAATTGACTGAAAAATATAAAATCAGTTGCTTCATTACCGGGTTAGAATATGAAACACAGATGCATGTGAGAATGTTTCATCCCACGACTATTCAGCATGCTGCCAACTTAGCAAAGTTATTTGAATCTGCACAAAAGTACAAGCAGTCGAAGTATAATTATCAAATCAAGAATGTGTATCCGAAGGCTGTGAGTAATAATCAAACATCTAAACAAGGTACTATT